ATATTTATATATATATATATATATATATAAATATATATATATATATTTTTTTTTTTTTTTTTTTTTTCTTTAATATATAATTATTTCGATATTTCGCTGATCTATTGTGATCAGCGTCATCAGGTATAATAAACAAAATAGTTACAAAAATCGTTATAGTAAAAACAAACTGTTAAAAAGATAACATTAAAAAGCTATAATATAATACAGAAAAAACTTTTCAAACAACTGACGTCAGCAGATTTTATTAATAAATGGCCCCCAGGTTTTGGTTGTTACGTTATCACCGATCATCCCGATTGAGAACCACGTCACCATCTCTCAACTCCTGTTGAACCCTAGCCTTGCTTATTTCGAGTGACTCTCTGATTTTCCGAGTTCGATATTCTCCCAGTGGGCATTTCGACGTCGAACGAACGTCGAGCGACGTCGGATCTCGACGTCGGATCGACGTTGGGTTTACGTTGGAAATGGAAATGTTATTTGACGTCGGATAAACTGACATCGCGCGACGTCGGCATTCCGATGTAAATCCTACGTGTTTTTTAAAAACTAAAAAACACTGCCTTTAACAGGAATCGAACCTCGGCCTATTAGTTTCTACATCCTATGCGCATACCACTACACCACAAGGACATATTAATTGTTGAGTTTATTTAGTAATTTATACTTGTAGCTATTTGGGAATTATTACTTTGATAAGAAATAATTTTGTTTAAATATTATATAAATATTAAAACGAATAGTTATATATTATAAAAAATGTATACTCGAAAATGTTAATAGTTAAAAAACTATGCTAGTGCATCATACAAAACCTCATGATGTTTTATCAACCTTTATTCAAACTTTTTTCCATTAATAAAAAAACACGCTTAGTTCACATAATTATTGAAGAGCGCAATTGCACACATATTGTTGGGTTTGGATTAAATTTTCATCAGCGATGTCTTACGACGTTGTTCTGACGTCGTTTTAAGGACGTTGGATTGACGTCGGAAGACGTCAAAAGACATCGGAGTACGTTAATATTATGACGTTGCCCGACGTCTTTTTATCGACGTTGGATCGATGTCAGTACTGCGACGTTTTTTGGACGTCTTTTATAAGATGTCGGAACAACGTCAAAATACATCGAAACGACGTCAGGGGATGTTGAGATAAAGACATCGCCCGACGTCATTTTACTGACATCGGAACAACGTCGGAATAGGTCTTTTGACATCGCTGATGAAAATCAAACGTAAATCCGACGTCGGATTGACGTCGGGTGCCCACTGGGCTGGGGTTACAGATAATGTTTTGGGGTGCAACCAATCAAACTTACCATGGCATGTTTTATAATGCTCAGTTGCACCCGAACTGGACCATTTTCCTTTTAAGCTGTTTTTTTGTTGTTCAATACATTTCGATATCACCTTCTTTTTAGTTTCGCCAATGTATATCGAACCGCATGAACATTTTTTAAATTGGGAGTTAATGTGAAAATAACCTTTATGTTTTGCTTTCGAAATTCTTTACGAACTTTTGGACCAACAATTGGTATCCAAGGTAGTTTTATAAAGGGTTGGGTATCTATTGGTTGAAATGTGGTGTTTTTTGAACCGTTTTTTAAATAGTCTATAGTAATATTATTTAGAATGTTCTTGTCGTGGCCATTTTCAACAAAGATGTCTATTAGAAAATCAACTTTTTTTTGAAGGTGTTTTTGAGAGCATATTCTTTTAGCACGACATAAAAATCCTTTGAAAACGCCAATAATAATGTTAGGATTAATGTTCGAGTTAGGTTTAAGTTGAACGTTTGTAATAGCTTTTTTTCTATGTATTTGAAACTCATAAGTTCTAGAGCCTGTGTTTTTAATGTTAATATCTAGGAAATTGAGTTGTTTGAGGTCGTTTTCAAGTTCCACTGTGTATTTTATGGCAAGATGTTGTTCATTAAGGATGTTCAGGAACATTTGTTGTTGTTTTATTGAAGCAAAGCGAGCATGACAATCATCTACATATCTCTTGTAAGTTTTTAGTTCGGATGTATGAATAATTGCTATGTTAAGGGCTTTTCTTTCTATATTTTGTAAAAACGCTTTTGCCATAACAACCATTAAAGATAAACCAAATAGGACCTGAATTAGGTATTATTCGGATATTGTTTTCATATAAAAAATAGCATACACTTAATGAAAGTTCAATTAATTGATGTATGTCTGCAAGAGTAAGTTTAGTTCGAGTTTTTAAGTCATTAATATCAGCGTTCAATATATCAATAATAACCGGAATTGCTTCGTCAATGGGTATGGATGGATATAATTTTTTTTTTAATAAAATCTGCTGACGTCAGTTGTTTGAAAAGTTTTTTCTGTATTATATTATGGCTTTTTAATGTTATCTTTTTAACGGTTTGTTTTTACTAAAACGATTTTTGTAACTATTTTGCTTATTATACCTGATGACGCTGATCACAATAGATCAGCGAAATATCGAAATAATTATTTATTTAATTTATAACACATACAATACAGCTAAGTACTAATATTTTAATTTATTTATGTAATATTTCAGTCTGAATAGTTCAGACCGTTTCATTTTAAATCGCAATACGTCTAATTTTAGGTTTATCAAGTCAGTGAATGCATTTTTAGGTTTAAAAACATTACTAAGTTTAAAGGTTACTAATCTCTCGCGCTTAATACACGGAAGGGGACCGTGTATTAAGCGCGAGAGTAATTATTCAGACAAAAACATTACATAAATAAATTAAAATATTAGTACTTAGCTGTATTGTATGTGTTATAAATTAAATAAATAAATTATCAAGTACTGCAAGAAATGTCATTAAAACAATTGATCGAAATAATTATATATTAAAGAAAAAATATATATATTTAAAAAAAAAGTTTATACGCAGCCGTGTTTATTGAATTCTAACCATATTTTAACGTATAACAAGAAAATTATATTCAAAGATTATATATATATATATATATATATATATATATATATATATATATATATATATATATATATATATATATATATATATATATAATATATATATATATATATATATATATATGCGAGTTATTCTCTTACAAGTCGATAGTAAATACACTTGCATAAGCACTGAATTTTAGAATCTTATAGGTGGTGGTACTATTATAGTTATAAACAAAAACTATTCAGATAAAAAAAAAAACAAATAAGACCGACAACCTGTTCTTATTAATGACTGATGTATACGTTTTCTGATTTTTAAATCTGCTTTTCACCGATTTATTTTTTTTTTTTTTTTTTTTGTTAAAGTTTATGAAAAAGGGGAGGGGGTCTTAATAAGCATGGGGTGGGTGGAAAAAAAATTTCGAAAACGATTAAACGTCCCCTTCCGTGTATTAAGCGCGAGAGATTAGTAACCTTTAAACTTAGTAATGTTTTTAAACCTAAAAATGCATTCACTGACTTGATAAACCTAAAATTAGACGTATTGCGATTTAAAATGTAATCCGTATTTTAAGCGATTGTTATCCGTTAATATTTCTTTGTAGAGTTTTCTATTTTAAATTTTTATTCCAGAGGTTTTATTTAAAACTATATCTTTTGAAAATGCAATAATAAATTACGAAACACGTCAAGAATAAAAAAATATCATGTTATTTTTAAAAATATTTGCTAATTTAGTGCGATTACGACATACAAGAATATAATATAATATAATATAATATAATATAATATAATATAATATAATATATATATATATATATATATATATATATATATATATATATATATATATATATATATATATATATACATATATATATATATATATATATATATATATATATATATATATATATATATATATATATATATATATATATATATATATATATATATATATATATATATATATATATATATATCGTTAGGGATAGTGCAAACTGCGTAACTAGCATTGGCTACTATATTTGGATATTAATAATTTTAACACCAAATATCTATTGTTGACATTACAAAAAAGATGAACAATACTCTTTATACTAAAATTAACCCAAAATCTGTTGAAATAAAAGAAATATAAGCTTTTAACCTTCTCCAGCAAAATATCTGTATTGTAGATACGCGGTAATATCCAATCAGTTACGCGGTTTTGCACTATCCCCGACGATATGTATTTAACTATTGGCGATAAGATGATTTTACATGTTTTAGCGCTTGTTCATAGGAAATGACTTTAGGGCTGTTTTGATGTATGTAAGCCATTGTTTCTTCAACAGATGTATAGTTGTAATTGTTGTTAATATTTTCGTTAGCGTACGACTCATAAAGGCGCCGACTATTATTTAAATGCATGCGAACTAAATGTAAGTGATACTTCATCATATCATTTGCCGCAAGCATGGCAGGATTTAAATTACTATATAGTTCAATTGTATCTACATCCATTACATGGGCGGCAATATTACTCGAGTGCGGCAATTGCCAACTATAAAGATAACTTAAAACCTCTTTTGTTTTATCATCAGTCCTAAATTCAGTCTGGGAACCCATGTTTTTAGACTGACCTATTTTTTCAGTATGTCTTTTTTGTGAACGACTTTTTTTGTGTTTAGAGACTTTTGAACTTGTAGATAATGATTTTGAGGAAACTGATGAAGTTGAATTACGAGGAACCTTTGAATTATGGGTATTTGACCTAGTAGACGATGATTTTGAAGGGGGTAGAGAGCTATAAGAAACATTTGAGTTGAGTGTATTTGAATCTTCTGAATTCGATTCACTTTTCCGTAACAAAGTCGACTTATACTTCTCCGTTTTAGAAGATTTCGACAAAGTTTCATCATTTACCTTTTGTTTCACTTCAGAATATTTATCTTCGGACATTAATGATTTCGAGAAAACTTTCTTTGCATTCTTCGTTTTAAAACTAGAAGATTTAGAATAAGATAATTCGGAGATTGAACGATTTAAACTTTGTGAAGTGTTTATTTCTGATAAATTTTCTGTAGTCGATCTATGAGAAACTTTTTTATATTCTTCTTTATATTCTTTTGAATTTGAAATTACCTCTGATATTTCAGAAGCATAATCTATTAAAGTACTATTTTCATCAGAACTAGGATTGTTTTCACGTAAATTATGAAGAACGGGGAAAAAATCAAGAGAATCATTTTTATTCTCAAGTTTGTTATCTGCACTCAATTGAACCTCATCTAATTCAAGTTGAGCATAATGTATATTACCCATGACATTGTAAGAACTTTCAGAAGAAGATACAATATTGTTATTTTCATCAACTTCTTTCAATTCGCGCATATAATTAATTCGCATTTCATCTTCGTCACTATCTAAACGGAGATTGCCTAAATCATGGACATTTTTGCTCACTTTTAAATTTAGTTCCGAGTCGGATTCGCTAGAAATATCTGGTGTTTGGTCTCCATCAACTATATCATAAAAAGTTTGACCACTCCACAAGTTTTTTAAACTTGTTTTCTTCTTTAGACTAGTTAAATAACTTGCAATCTAAAAAAAAAAATAAATGATTGTGAAAATTTTTGTTTTATAAGCAATTTTTCAAGATTAAATTTTTAAATAGATATCAGATTTTTTCTAGTTAATAGTAGGTGTTAAATGCCAAAATATAAACATTGCTTTATGATATTGTTACAAACCAATTTGCATTTAATTGGTTATACATCAAATGTTAACAGTATTGTATCATGAATTTGCAAGTTTAAAATTACTCAAGTTAAAAACAAAATTAAAAATACTTTAAATAAAGAATAACATCATGCTTATCTTAATAAAGATACTAATAACTTCTACACAATGCAGACTCCCCAACGGTTCATACAAAGATATAGATTAATATGAATTGTTTCATATTAACAATATAGACATTTTAAAACTTCAAAATTTTTGTATACATTTAAAAAACCTAGAAACGTTTATTTAGTAAACAATGCTCAATTATAGTATGAATAAGAATTCATACTTATTTATAATAAACATTTAAAAAAACATTTAACAAATACTTTAATCATATGGCATCTTTGAAAATTTTCAAGACCCTTGGATGGATTGTAAATTTTTTAAATAACAGAGAATTATCCGCTGCAACAATCTTTTAAATTGTCTGTTAGGTATCAGCAGTGTAATACAAAGAACTGTTTTAAAACCAATACTACTTTTGATTTTCATTAATAATTTGCCAGATCCAGTTAAAAACCCTATTAAACTTTATTCTGATGATATCAAAATAATCAATATTCTAAAAAACTTTATTGATTTAACGAGCCTTTGAAATAAAATATGTTATGATCAAGTACTGGGCTTACCAAATTTCACAATGTAATGTAATATATAACATATAAGATAATACTAAAATTCATTTAAAAAAGTGCACATTTGTAATGTCTAATGTTGATTGCAATTACATTTATATGTTATGTAACGCATAGGCTTAACATAACTTAGGCGTTATGGTTCAATCAAATTTATAGACACTCACAAGTTGATTCAGCTATTGATAATACCAATACAGTGCTAAGTATTACAAAATTTCTTTGATAATATTTAGACATAAACACAATAAAATAGCCAAAAACAAGATTTGTATTTCCATATTTAAAGGTTGCATTCAGGCATGGTCTTAATACCTAAGACATAAAAAAATAAATAATAAGAGCCACCAAACTAGCACTTACAAAGAAAAAATTTTAAAGCTAGACTAAATACTATGCAATTAACAACAGAAAAATGAAGACTACATGGAGACCTTGTTCAACAGCATAAAACTAAACATAGCCATGATTACAAATCATTATTAAACTACATTTAAAAAAAGGCCTACAGCTACGAAACACAAACCTTTTTCAAAATTCTATTGTTAATATATGGAACAACCTGCAGTCTGATAAATACAATCTGGTTCAATAAATACTTTTAAAAACAAGCTGGATAAATGTCAATTTTGCAAAACTTATTATTAATAAAACAAGAACATAACAAAAAAAAACAACTGATTAACTTGTTAGAATGCACATTCTACTGTTATGGCAACAATTACAATTGTTATGGCAACAATTACAATTGTTATGGCAACAATTACAATTGCTGAAACTAGTTGTTATGACTATACTTTGTTATTATTAAACATAAAACTTACTTTTTATGCATAACTCAACTTGTAAAATATACCTTTTGTGCATAACTCAACTTGTAAAATATACTTTTTGTGCATAACTCAACTTGTAAAATATACTTTTTGTGTATAACTCAACTTGTAATATAGAAGAGAATAATTTTACTAAATTGTGAACTATTAACTTAACTTATGATCACATGCATTTACTTTTTATAGGCAACAAAATATTTCAGTATAATAATAATATAAAATGTATATAAATATAAATAAATTTTTTCTAATTTAAAGTTAATTAATTAAATATTAAAATTAGTTGTTGTGATTGTTACACATAAGTATATCAACTACAACAACTTCAACAAATATCATTCATAGATTTTAAACAAAATAAAGATATTTATGGATTAACATTTTAAAATATGTTTGTCTTTACAAACAAATTGTTATCATTTTTAATTAGTTTTTTATTTAAATGTACATATATTTTTAAAATGGCAGTATCTCATAAAAAATCTTTAATTGCAATTAGATAAATTTATTGTTAATAGTAATAAACTAAAAACTAAGATATGATGTATAAATAGGGGGTGATAGTGCAGATCATTTATTTTTATGATTTAATAGCAAATATCCAATTTAAAGCTGATCTAAAATACAGGCCTAAGATCTTGAAGAAAAAAAAATATTATTGTTTTTAAGCTTACGTAAGAATTTAGTTGAATTATTAAACAGTAATTAAATTACATTTGAATACTACTGAATAATACTTTGTTTGTTGAACTTTTTTTTTAATTACATTTCTATATCGCGTAAATGTTTTTCATTTAAGTTTTTCAATGCCTAAAAATTATGAAAATATTTAAAAAAAAAAAAATCTAAATAAATTATAGAGTTGCTAATAAAACAAACTAAAAGTTATCAAAACAACATTGAAAAGTTGTTAAAAATTAAAAAATAAACTTGCCCAGTTCACACGAAACATTAAAAAATTTATATTAAAAAAAAACTTTAAGCTTTCCCTAATACCTTTTATTGCCCCTGCTTTAAGTAGAATAAATTTTATTTAAAGTGGGGGCATTATTTGTAATTCCAATCAGCAAATTTTAACATTTTTTATTTATTTTTAATTAGTAATTTTCTTATATAATTTACAAAAAAGTTATGGATTAATCCAGAGCCCTGAGAAACTCTAAAGGCACTGTAGCCTATATCTTGTAGTTTTATGATTAGAAAATGATGTGGCACAAAATCAAATGCCTTCTATAAGTCAATAAAAAATGATCCCAAGTATTTGCTGCTATTCATTGATTCTAACCAAGAACCCATTGCAGTTGCTAGAGCTTGCTCAAAGTTTGAGCTTTTCCTAAAATCAAATTGTTAATTAAGTAAGATATTTTTGTTACAACATTATGATAGTTGATAAACAACCATTTTTTCTATAACTCTTCCAAGTATCAGTAGAACCCGTATTGGTCTATAATTAGATGGGTCAGATTTACAACCTTTTATTTAAAGCTTTATATACAGCTGTAAAACTTGCTTGAAGTTCACTTGCTGACTCTTAACCTATGATACATGATAAACATTTAATATTTTGCTTAAAAATTCATTTACTGGCTCTTAAACTACAGTACATGATAAACATCCATTGTTATTATCAGTAATATACTAATAAAGAATCATCTTTTTGATAAAAATTTTTTTTTTATTTTTTTTTTACCCTACAATGTAGGGTAAAATTACCCATTTTGATCAAATATTGACAGAATTAAATATATTTTTTAACTCAGGTAAATTGAAAACCAATTATTTCAAATTCTTAACTTAAAAGAAAAATTTGATTTTTCCTAGTATACAATTTTATAAAATTACCTCCATATCTTTTGTTTCATCTACAATTCCATTTAATATTGCCTCTCCTCCATTGTCAGTATTACATAAAATAGAAGAAGACTCCTTCGCTTTAACTTTCAAAACGCCTAATTTCCATTTATCTACAGAGCTTTTCATTATTAAATTCTAATTCTTCTAATTTTATTCAGATTACAAATCACATTGTCTGATCTCATGAAAAATTAATTTTCTAGCAGCTGTTTTGTTCAACAACAACAAATCGTGCAACGTTATAAAACGTAAAATAACTGGAGAATTCGTGAAATTCTACACGGCATTTATAAACAAATTTAATTATTTATATCTAGTATTCAAAAATAAATTATTTAATTTAAATTTTTAGTTCATTTTTTTGCTTTTTATGATTGCTTTGGTAACATGAGCTAAACATTTAAAGAGTATTTAATTAAATAATTTATCTTAAAGCGCCATAAGTACAGTTATTGTTTGAAAAAAAAATCTGAAGTGAAAGATTTTAACACGCGCAGAAAAGTAGTTTCTGGCCTAATTTTAAACCGACATGATATGAGTAAAATGTGTATATTTTTTTTAATTTAAATTTTTTTTTTATCTTTATATAATTTTATTGTCTATATATAATTTTATATATTAAAAATATCATTATAAGGTTGTCAATATTTTAGAACAATATGAAAGAGAATACAGTTATGTCTGACTTTATGCTTTTTAACGATATTTTTGATGAGATAGCTACAAAAGAAAAAGAAGAGGCAAACTTTTTTGACTCTGGACCAAATCATCCGAGCCATGAATTTACTCAAGAATATATAGACATGGATATAACTAAAGACTCTGAACCAGCTCATGATCCCAGCAATACGTTTGTACAAGAATATAAAGAAACAGATACAGGTATAACTAAAGACTCTGTACAAGAATATAAAGAAACAGATACAGGTATAACTAAAGACTCTGTACAATTTAATGATCCAAACCATGTAATCACATATAAAAATGAAGAAACAGATTTAGATGTTTTTAACAATGAAGAGGGTAATGAAATTAACAATGTTCACTTCGATACCCACTCCAATGAAAGCAGTTTTAGCAAACATGCCAAAGATCTTTCCACTTCTAAAAAGGAATCCATCGAAAACTTGTCAAACGATAAGTACTCTGCAAAAAACTTATATATGGAAGACATTTTTTCCATCTCTTCCCATTCAAGTGAAGGTTCTTTCTCATATGGCAACAAATTCGATTACAAGTATTTACATGACATAAGTGATAGCGATTTAAATTCAAGAAATAGTTTTATATCAAGCAAAAAAAATAAACATATAAATGATGAAAACAGTATTTTATCAAAAGAGGAATACGAAGAGCACAACAGTGAAACGGAAGAGGGGAAAAATATCAAGTTCATGTTACGTTACAATAATTTTTGTGCGTTTCTGGAAGAAGTTAAAAAAAAAGTTATCGATCAACCTGAAGAAAAGTTTGAGATTGAATTTAAAAATAAAACTGATTGCAAAATAGAAAATAAAATTGATAAAAAAAAAGACATCGGGAAAAAAAAAAGTAAATCAAAAGAAAAAAATATTCCATTAAAAAAGCCCTACGTCACATTAAAATTAAACGGGTTTAGCAATGATAATTTTTTTAAGGACGAAAACTTTACGATAGAAAAAAAACCAAAAATAAACCTAAAGTTACACTATGGTTTAAATAAAGAAAAAAAACTAGACTCACAACTAAAAGCAACGGATAATCCTGCCATATTGTCATGGTTATCGGAAAAAGAAAGAAATGAAAAAGAGTTAAAGCGTAACGAGTTTCTTCAAAGACGTTTGCAAAAAAAACAGCAAAGACAAAACAAACTTGAAAAAGAAAAGTTATCACAAGTTTCATCGGAAAAAGTCCAAAAATGGATTGAGCAAAAAAAAAAAGATGATCTAAAAAAAATGAAGCATTTACACCCTGCGTTTGAAGAAGAAAGAATAAAACTGTTGAAAATTGAAAAACAATTAAATACGCAACAAATGCAAATGGACGGTAACGAAAAAAGATTTCGTTTCTCAACTGCAAAGCATAAATCCAATTGTCTCCAAGAAAACAGCAGTACTAGCAACACTTATCTTTTAAATAGACCCTCAAACCCTGTAGTCTACATATCTGTAGAAGCATTTACTTGCGCAGTTATTAACGAAGCAATTAACGAGTTGGATATGTCTTTACGAGTTAAATCTGCGAGATTAGGGCGTTCAAAATCTGGATTGCTTGATCCAAAAACTAGTGAAAGAACACCAAGAGCTCCGACTGTCTTAAAATCACACACAAAAGTTGAAAGTTTTAATCATGCAATAACTCGTCCAGCTTGGAGAATAACCATACCTGGATTTTCAAGAACATTTGAAGAATGGTTGTTGGCGAAAAAAGGTCTTGATCGAATTAAAGCTCGAGAGAGAATAACTAAACATTACTATGACGAACTTGAAAAAGAAATAATAAAAAAAGAGAGAGAAAAACTTGGGAGCGAACGATTGAGCTCTAGAAAAAGAACTCAATCTGCATTTAATCCGTACATATTATCTACTCAATCAAGCACTGAATATATGTATCTAGCATTGTAGTACTTTAAACGTATAACAATATGATTAATGTTGAGTATGAGAATTATTCTCAATGACTTTCAATAATTGACTGTTGATTAATATAAAAGATTAATTAGATTTTATTCTCCATTTGTAAGGATCATACATGTTAATTTTGCATTGTATCTTATTACTGAACGAGCAACCAAAATAACAGAACGAAACCACCTCCAAATATCAGAACCACACCACCTTTAAATATCAGAACCATCAGAGCCATCTTGTAAATATCCGATTTTATTAGAGGTAATAATACATATTACATATTTTAATTTTAAAAAATGAGACCATAGAACAATATAGACCTATAAAAACATTTACTCATTAAAAACATAAAGCTTAAGACCATTTAATATTAGGCTCATCATTCTATATAATTTCAATCATTTAGCTTTTTTTTTATACTACTGTACTAAACTTAATGCCTTTATGGAAATAGGTAGTTTTTTTAATGATTTTATTAACAAGACTATAACATTTTAAGTATTAAACATTCGCTTTAATAAGAACTTACATAACATTAAAGAAAATCAAATACTTTTCAAGTTATCATAATAGTTCCATTCTTCCCTTGTTTAGGAGTTGCGGGATTAGTTTCGGCTTTGATGACCATCATTTAAAAATTTCAATATTTACGAAAGTGACCAGTTGAACGTTTGTACAGACAAATAAAGAAACGCATGACAAAACATGTAGAACAAGTATTATAATTTTATTATAGCTTTATTAGCTGTTTATTAAAAATTGCGCTATTATAAACAGGTTATTGATAATTTTAGAACAAATATAAGTAAAAAACGTTCACGAGTCACAGCTCTATCAGCTCCAAATACAATTTTAACAGAATGCTTTTGTTTTTTTTATAAATATTTTAGAAAGTTTAGATTAGTATGTTAAAATTATCTATGTAAAAAGTAAAAAATTATTAAGGACTTAAAATTTAGAAGTGGTTTACCTACATAGATCATGCCAATATCTTTGGAGACTTTTTTTTTAGTTAAATCAAAGATAACTTAGCATTTTGAAAATTCAAAGAAAATTAGTTTATGACAAAAGCGTTGAGACGGCGTGGGACCAATTAAGTTAAGCCTAATAAAGTTTTAGGCGGTCATGGCGCAGTGGTTAGAAGGCTTAGTTTAGAAGCAAGAGACCCAAGGTTCAAACCATGCTCTGGACATACTTTGCACCATTGGTAAGGAAAGAGGGATGAACTTCTTGTTAAATGCTAGTCCGCGGTGCTCTGTGATAAGACCATTAGTTCTTCTTGGGGCACTTACTTTTTTTATAGATCAATATTTATTGTAACTTATTATGTGGCCGTGGCGTAGTGGTTACATTGCTTGCTTTATAAGCAGGAGATACAGGTTCAAAATATTCTCTAGACATAATATCACGTCACGGTAAGGAAGGAGGCGTAAACTTCCTGGTTAAATACACTTCCGCGGCGCTCTGTGACAAGACCTTTAGGTCTTCTTGGGGTACCTAAATTTATAAACATAACTATTTGACCGCAAATTACAGCAACGGAAAAATGTAAATTTTTTTAAAATGCATCTATCAAGGAGTGTCAGAAATATTGTTTTTTATGGGTACTCACACCCATAATAGGGTGATGTGAACGTGTGTGTGAAAAACTCTCTTTTTTTGTGCGTGTGTGTATTACACATAAGTCAAATTAACATTTTAATTTTTTTTTTCTGTCTAATTTGATTATACAAAAAAAAAACTTCTGACACCGCTTAATAGTTGGATGTACCATTGACGTATGCATATATTGGTGAAGGTCAATTATAAAACATTTCCTGGTTAAACCCCAACAAATAAATAAACCTTAACTTTTTAAAGTTTTTTTTAGATTAATATACTTTCAAGACCAAGTCTCTTAAACGACAAACCAGGGCGATTTTATGGTAAGGGGGAAACGGGTTGGAGTATGACCCACCTCCTTCTTCTCAAAGAAAGCTATTTTTTAATTTATAGTTAGTTTTTTAAAAAGTATATTCTTTAAAAAATCAACTATAAATAGAAAATAAAATATATACATAAATAATTTACATAAACAAAACTTAAAATGATTGTTATAATATTGACAATGTTATCATAATGCTAAGTGTTGTATGCTGGTGTATTAAAAGCTCTATAAAAACATATGTTTCTCTTTCATTTTTTGATAAAAGCATCATGAAAATATATGTTTTTTTTTCATCTCTTAATAAAGACAAATTGTTTTCAAAGAAAAACAGTTACCAGCTTAATTAACTTACCAGAAAAACAAATACTAGCTTAAATACTGATACTGCTTTCAAAAATCAGTATCAGTATTTAAGTTGGTATTCAAAATGTTTAAGTTTTGGCAACTGCAGAAAATAATTCAAAAAATTACAACAATGTCAGAAAAAATATTTTTTTTAAGATGAGGTATGTATAAAGACGAATGTATGTATGTATGTTATGTATGTATGTTACAAAAGTATGTATGTTACAAAAGTTTAACCTGATAAACTCATTTATCTTAAGCCATTCAAAAAAACAACCAACAGACAAAAGACGAGTTACTTCAAAAAGCATAAATTTATTAGTTTTTGAAAAACCTTTAATTCTTAATAGAATATAATAAAAAAAAGCGTTCATAAGATATAATATTTGATTTTTGCAATATAACTTATTAAAAAGCAAAAAAATACGAGGATCGCAGGAGTTACGTTTATGAAGGACACTTGTTGACTTTTACAAAAGTCTACTAAAACTAGTTTACTGTCTATTGCGAACTCCATCTTAATTAAAACTGCTACCTAAGCAATCAAACACACATAAAGGAAAACGTCATATTAAGACAGTTCCTGTAAAATTGATCAGGACTACCAATATAGCTCGCTAGATAAAATCTATTTAATGTTTGGTTTATATTCATGATTTTTCAAGACGACAAAGCTAAAGTACCATTTGGATTAGCAGCTACAACAAACAATCAACAATATTGATGCATCTTGACCAAGTACATTTGCCCAATTATTATTTTTTACTGGCTTTAAGACATAAACTTATACCGTCAGTTTATGCAGCTTGTATTATTGATCCAGTCGAGTTACTAATGCAGTGTCATTTCTGGATCAACACATATTGCTATTAGATCTATGAAGCTTGATAGCAAGGCATTTTAGTTGACCTATATAGATATTTTGAGCGGTCCACTGTAGTTTTGCTCACCGGTTACTTATTGGACCATTAGTCGAACTCTATAAAAATGGCTAGCCAATAACTATCCACTATTAACATGTAAAAAAGTTATTGGCTGGCCATTTATAGCAGCTGCCACTAATGGTCCACTAAGTCACCTTTAAGTAAAACTCCAATGAACTACTAAAAACTGCCTATATAGTTATGTGTGTCATGCTTTATGATTTTTTGAAAAAAAAGTTGTTCCTAAAACCCAGTATATAGAAAACGTGTGTATAACTATTTTAACATTAAAACCAAAAAAAACTAAAAATAGTTTATGTTAAGCTACCGGGAAGTTTGTTTTAAAATTACATATTTATGGTCAATATTTTATAATTGACTTTGACCTTAACCACAGATAATGTTTTGTGTCCACGCATTTTTATACACAAGTAATTGTTTACAGCCACTCACGTTGAATTCTATTTGATATCAAAAACTATATAAAGTTGCCATTTTATAAATTGTTGAACATATAATTTGTATGTTAAATGATAAAAAATATTACAAAAAATTTTAAAAATTAAAAAATTTACGCAAAAAGTTTGTAAATATCTTCAAGAACTAGAAAAAGAAGCGGATCAAAGCTTTCGAAATATATAGGTTCTGGAACAGATATTTTTGTATCATAGTTACCAACGCTAAGAGATCTTCTTAGATATGGTCTATTTTTGCAAGAAAGAAACAATATAAATAAAATAAATTATCCTATAAAATCACTAATGAACGATGTTTACTCAAAGTTGACTGGTAAATATCCTGTAACGCATATTGAACATTATATTACTGCAACATTGGTGAATGAATAGAATGCAGCCTACCTGGTTGCTAGGGGAAAAGCAAGCTTAACGAATAAAGATAGATTTTTGGCAAACTTGACAAATTGTTTGATATACTGAATTGTAATTGGCAAATTATTACTTTTCAAGAGAAAAATTGTTTTTAGAATGTAACAATGAAGCCCATATTAATTGTACGTGCGAAAAGAAGAACAAGATTCCAAAGAAAGAGTTTTTATACTTGGGCAAAGAGCTAAAATAGGGACTACCGGTCCGTATCAAATTAACTGACTTGAAAGAAAACAAAAAGCTGCATAAAATTGGAGAAAGAAGATTGAAGGAAGAAGTAAGATTTTTTAAATAGTTATGTTTTTAATTAGTAATTCGTTAATAAAGAAAAATTAATTAAACTCCAAAGTTAAATTAATTTTAGTTACATTACAAATATATCTACCTGTTTCAACTTAAAAATAACAAAATCTAGTTAAACTCAAAATGAAATTTTTACATACAACTATTTATATTTTATTTATATTAGGAAATATACTTATAACATTTTACAAAACATCAATTAATAAAAATTCAATTACTTTATCCATAGCTAAAGCAAAAAGCGTCTGAAAAACTGCAACAAACAATTAGAAGTCAGGAAGAAAAGTTTGAATTTGAATTTTGCGAAACAGATCAACTATTTAGTAACAAATGTTTCACAACAAACAGCAATACTGAATTCAATCTAATGCGTCGTGTATTTATTTCCAACATAGCGGTAGCAAGCATACGGTATGGTACAGATTACGGGAAACAGCTGCAATTGCAACGGCAGCTTGGATGGACACAGGAATAGTTAAAGAAGATGATACTAAGTTGGTTTTTGACAGAAAAGTCACAGAAAAGTCAAGAGATTTCAATAAAAAATTATGCAATCTTTTCCTAGAGAGTTTGATACTCGATTCAGGTCTATTATTATTGATTGTGTTTTTTTTGATAGCAGAGTTGATAATACAAAAGTTAAATTAGTAGTCAAAGGTTCGTCTAAATGATATCCTGTTACAATCAAAAAAGAACATTATACAGTGTGTCAAGAGCTCGGTGGTAAGTATCTTTTTCATTTCACACCTGAAAAAGTTTAAAAACATATGAAAGACGGTTGAATAATTGCTCAGAATATATACGAATTTTTGAAAAGTCATGGTGCCGATAAAAGCTTAACAGCGATCGGTTGTGATTCTACTTGCGTTAACACAGGGTGGTCAAGTGGAGCAATACATTGGCTGGAAGTAAAGTTAGGAAGAAAGCTAAACTGGCTGGTTTACGCAATCCATACTAATGAACTTCCTCTGCGTTATCTGATAACAAATCTTGATGAAGAGACTCTAAACACCATCAAATGAAGAGACAGCACTGAAAAATTATTAAATGACGCAATCTCTCTGGAAATTTTCCACCCTTTGAAAAAAATGATGTCGGAAATCCGCTTATTACTCTAATGGATGAAGTAATCAAAAATTTATCCTCCGATCAGTTTTATGGGTATAAAATAGTCTTTTCTATTAGAAGTGGAAATATACCCGCAGACTTGGCTTTACTTGAAATTGGGTCAGTTAATCATTCCAGATGGTTGACAACAGCCAATAGACTTTGCAGAGTTTGGGTCTCAAAACATGAGTTGGAAAGCAAAAATTTTAAAAATATTAAATTAATAATTGAGTTCATTGTTGGAGTTTACATGCCTACGTGGTTTAAAATTAAAGCCGAGCATAGCTTTACTGAAGGACCGAAACATATTCTTTACAAGCTTAGCCTTCTGAAACATCAATCAAATGAAGTAGTAGAAATTTTTATGCC